ATTGCGCCAAAGAAATCGGAACGACGACTGAGTGCGTCAGCAACAACGTTATACTTACCCTTAACTGGCTTGAGCTCAAAATCATACAAGTCGATTTCAGCGGCCCACCTGGTCAACTTAGGTGTCATACGGGCCTGCGTTTTGAGCCAGCGCAATGTCTCATGGTCTGAGTAGACCTTGAAGTGTCTCCCCAGGAGATAGTGTCGCCAATGATTCAATGCTTCACGGAGAGCAAACAACTCCCTTTCGTACGTGGAAGCGGCGACTTTATCATTAGGGAACCGGCGAGACATAAACTCAACAGGCCGGTATCCATGCCCATCATCCTGTTGGAGTACGACACCTATGCCGTATTGGCTTGCGTCGGTGGTAACAACAAAAGGCAACGAAGGGTCAGCAACCTTCAAAACCGGATAGTTAATCAGACTTTGCTTTAATCGTTTGAACGAAGAAGCACAACTTGAATCCCACTTCCAGATTGTCTCTTTTTTTAGTAGTCGGCGAAGGGGTGCAGCAATAATCGTAAAGTGTTTAACAAACTTACGATAATAATTAGCTAGCCCAAGGAACGACCGCAACTCTGTCAAAGTGCGGGGGTTCGGCCAATCTCTGATTGCCGCAATCTTTGTATCCTCCGGTTTTACACCGTCTCCATCAATCACATGACCCAGATACAAAAHTTGACGCTTAGCCCACTCACACTTCTTAGGGTTCAGTTTCAACTTAGCTTCACGCAATTTATTTAGCACAAGACGAAGGTGCTCAGTGTGTTCCTCCTCATTTTTACTAAAAATCAAAATATCATCTAAATAAATCACGACGAACTTATYAAGCCAATCGCGAAAGAGTTCATTCATAGTTCTTTGGAAGGTTGCAGGGGCATTAGTCAGACCAAAGGGCAAAACCACAAATTCATAATGCCCATACCTTGTTCGAAAGGCTGTCTTATATTGGTCTTCCGGTTCTACCTCAATCTGATGGTAGCCGGATTTCAGATCAAYCTTAGAAAAGATTTTGCATCCCTGCACACGATCCAGTAAGTCGTCGATTCTAGGCAATGGCTCAGCATTCTTTACAGTTATATCGTTTAGACGTCTATAGTCAATACACATGCGAACGCCGCCGTCCTTCTTAGGAACAAACAACACAGGCGCACCATAGGGCGAAGAGCTAGGTCTAATCCATCCTTTCTCCAGCAATTCATCAAGCTGAGTTCTCAGCTCGTCTAATTCCTGTGGCGACATTCGGTAGATAGGCCCCTTGGGAGGTGCATTCCCTGGAATTATATCAATGCGGTGGCGGATAGGCCGCTCAACAACACCGCTTGGGGCCTCGGCCACGTCAGCGAATTCTTCCAGAATTGCCTCAATTGCTTGGGATTTAGCCTCTTCTTTTGATTCCCCTTCTTTTACTGGGCGCACATATGCAACAAAAACTTGATCTTCCAAGTTATATCTTTTGACATGGCGAGCGAACGCTGGGGCACTCATACAACAATGAGCCAAGCTGCTTTCTTTCCCCGACTCGTGGTACAGACGAATCTTTTTCTTCTTTCCCCGTGAGCTAGGAAGCCAACACTCATGTTCTCTTAGCTTTAGGTCTGCACCAGCAGCTTCACCCCAATCTGTGCCAAGTAGGACATCGAAAGGCAAGCCATCTTCCACCAAGAAAGTCAGAGAGTGGAGAACACGTTCCACCTTCCCCTCTGCTTCGAGCCGGAAGTACGCTTGTATTCCCTCAACGTACCTATCGATAGACATTACACTTCCATTAGCAACTCTGCTTATTATGGGCTCACTTAATTGCTTTATCTTCAGCCCAAGACGCAATTTCTTTAATC